AACGAAAGAGATTAAGGAAAGGGTGAGGAAGAGAGAGAAAAAGATGGAGAAAGAGAGAGTAAGAGAGAAGCAGAATCGATCCTGCCTCCTCGGCGGTAACTAGTGAAATACAAAAGTTTTATCAACATTTTTACTGGAGCCCACACACGCATTAAAAAAAATTGACGACTCGTCAAAAAGTATCAAGCAGGTTTCATCAATAAAAATTATGATTTAAATCTTTTTTTTTTTTGACATCAAAACACCCTAGACACGGTCAAATTTCACATCAAAATTGTGATATAAAAATTTTGATGCAAAATTTTGACGCTTTAAAAAAAAAATGTGTGTGGATCCCTTAACGAAAAGCTCTGACACTTCGCTGCCCTTGAATTATAAAGTTACTATCTACTCAGTACCTAGCTTGGAGAAATTTGACGCCGAAAAGTTTGAGCTTCACAACTTGTTAAGTTTATAGAATGCTTTATTTTTCATCTATTTGTTTTTTGTTTTTTAGCAATAAATAGTCCGCTGCCGGCTTGCTAGGCCTGTCACAGTTTCACCAGAGTCCCGTTAGCCTGCAACTTTTCGGGGTGACTCGGGTTCTCCTTCACGGCTAGCGTGACGCCTCAGTGGCATAAAGCCACTGCTACTTTGTTCAGTTTCCACCTCCCGGGACGTGGACCTGGGGTTGAGCTTTGGGAGGCTTTTTCGAATGCAGTTCTTTGAATATCTTAATAACGACTCCGATCAAATAATATTACGATAGCTGGGTGCGACGGCCGAGCGGTTAGTGCGCTTGTCTCCGAAGCGGAAAGTCCGGGTTCAAGCCCCGGTTCGGACACGAAATGTTTTCGCCCCCTCCTGCCCACCCAGCAGTAATGGGCACCTGACTTCGAGTTGGGGAAGTAAAGGCGGCGTGGACAGGAACTGGCCACCGTACCACAATATGCCGAAGGCCCAGGAAGTTGTTTCACTAACAAGGCAATCCACAATGTCCGGATCGGATGCGGGAACAACTTTACTTTTAGAGGAGGTAGAACATTAAAATTTGGTTTCTGACCTCACACTCTTGGTCATTCAAAACGGTGAAAAATGTCAGATAGATTTTGTGATTCTAAGGTAGCAACTAGTAATGGTTGATATGAGTCATACCTGACTGTGGTAATGACTAACAAATGAAATGACTGAAACTAATAGTGACTGACAATGACAACGAAGGGAAATGACGGACGAAGCTGACACTGACAATGACTGATTAGGATAATGACTGGCTGTGACGCTGTCACTCTCTTTCGCTGCTTTGTTTCTTCCCCTTATACGAATGTTCACCGAAAATCCCAAGTACATTTGATCTACAAATACATTTAGCTGCACCACTTATCCCTATCTCTGGCTTTCCATTCCCTTTCAGCACAAGAAGATCCCACGTCATTCAAGTGGGCAACAACGCATGAAGCGATTCAAACTGTTGTGCGAATACCATCCTTGTTCGGCTCTCTCTTCCTCCTTCACTCTCATTTTCCCTTGTTCTCACTCTTTGTGTGTCTGTCAGTCTGTTTGTCTGTTGTTTTCCTAAACCCTCCCTTTTTCTGTTTTTTTAGCTAACTGTTTGTCTCTTCCTCCACCTCCACCACCTCCTTTCTCTCTCTCTCTCTC